CTTTCAACCTGAGACCAACGATAGCTGTACCTATGAACTGTAGGAACAATTGGAGAAAAAAGCTTTTTAAGAGGATCTCCTTCGTTCTATCAGACAATCTCATTGAAACAGCGAACGCACGGTTAATACCGAGAAGAAGAGAGAACATTGAGCTACCTGAAAACGAGTTTGTTCCATCTTCCACTTTTCATCATGGTTGGTTACTGGAGAGCAGAGCAATCATGATCCAGAGTTGGTTTATAGTACAGATGATCTCGAAACGAGTTAGAAGTCCCGAGTTGTATACACTAGCACATGGTAGGATGAAACAGGACTGCAATCCAACAGTCAGAAAAACTTGACTGAACCCAGCTCTTCAAAAAACAGTTATAATATATTGTCTGAGCGGTTTTACTCACAACAAGTCATGTCCATGTATGACGAATCGAGAGAACGGAGTCAGCTTGGTGGGGACAGTCACGAGCAAGTACAGTGAGAAGAATATGATAAAGAATCCTAAAGAGGATATGCAATACAAAACAATAGAATAGATAATCATCGAGAAACCCACACGCTGTTTGAGATTTCAATTCTGATGAATAGCAGCTGAAAAGCCAAGAGATCTGCAGCTCTGAATTGTGCTCGCTCATTGACTCCAACTTTTGACAACAAAAATTGGAGTCATCCTTCCATGAGAATTGGGTAACCACAGCTACAACGTAGACTCAATCAACAACAACATGTCGACCATTGCTGGTCCTCGCTATCATCAACCTTCTACTTCAATCGAACTGAGACCCATATCCCACGCAGTCTTAATGAGCTGTGAAGGTTTACTAAGATGATGACAGCTCAGAACATTCATAGAGATACCTACTGTTGCAGTGAATTGTATTCAGAAGACGCCGAGCAAAGAGATTCCTACAATTCCAAAATTGAAGCGCAAGACAAGCTAAATGAAATCAACATCATAGTTTGTATAAAACCCGCTCACAACGCTGCTCACATTGAGTCTTACAGTGGATTTTGGTTTCTGATACCTCTACAGATTGCTAATCACAAACAGCGAATGTGACGGGGTAAGCCAGCAAAATTTCAAATAAGAGCGTTGAAAACTTTTGAACTCTTCTGATTCAGAAGGCAGCGATGATCTACGATTAAACAACTGTTCTTCAACTTCTCTAAGAACAGATGCTTCTTGAACTATCTCAAACACTGAGTTTACTCAGTCAACTGCTTTTTTACTCAACGAGTATGGTAGTATGTGTGAGCCTCAATGTAACATAATCCTCGGAGTAGTTGTGGTGAGGAGTTTGAGATCTGCTAAGCATATGCGATTCACTCTTCAAAGACCTGAGGGATGCATTACAGTGTGCAGGGCAGGATGCGAATGCGCCGCTGGACATGTCACAATCAACGAAGTCTGTTTACCAGAAACCCAACAATGAGTCAGTTAGTGGTGTAAACGGTTCAACTGCCATTTTCTTCAAACGGATGAAATCTAGAAGGTTAGGATTATACAGGAACAACAATACGGGAGGGGACAAAACATCATCAACACCATCAAGCAACTAATCTCCATTCTGTTTCGAACGTGCTTTGTGTTGACGAATACTTTCCTCCCATCACAAAGATTTGCTGGTGACAGAATGCTAGGAACGAGTATGAAGCACAAACGATAACAACATGATTGACGAAGAAGAACATTGATAGATAGAACAGTACTAACGTCTATTCGAAACAAAGAGATAATATCGAACCACTCCTTTAATTGTCCAAGGCGGCGTGTCATCCAAAACAGTTCCGAGATCGCACACATCTTTCTATTAACACGTCGTGCATTTTGGAACTTTCCCAAACAAGGTGTCTGCCCAGACATAGATTGATGAATAAAATAGCATATTTCTAAATTTCATCGACATATTCAGATTCTGCTTTCAATTTTCATCAAAAATATCAAAACAGTTATTCGTTTGCTCGAATTCGAAATAAGTCACCCAAGCGAACAAGGGCTGGCTGACTACAGACCTCATCTCTTCGGGACACCCTTCTACTTCGTTCTGTTCCTTCTGGACCAACAGGGAGCTTTTGATTCGAAGGGATTCTGATAACTTCATCTCATCTGTGTATATCTCACTCAGTACAAACTGTTGAAAAAAACTTATTTTTATGTTTCATAATGAATCGCTAGTTGTTGGTTTCGTTGAGAACGAAACGACAGTTCCTGTCATGACAACAGACGTTATAGGCAATATTGAGTTTCCATAAGGTTGTAGCAATCATCTAAGAGATTGTTGGGCTCATTGAACACGAATTGGTAATATGGATGACCATTTCAGTAGTAGAATGCTGAAACGCTCAATTGGTCGGTGAACGAGATCCCAGTTCGTGAGCTGAAAAAATGTTTTGAGGCATGATCTACAAGTACACATGAACAGAGTTAAGTTCAAGAACCAACCTTTTCTAAGTATCCCTTTCACTTTGTTCCTGTAATCTGTGTTGGACATCAGAACATAGTATGGACCAAATATGGGATAGATGCATATGGAGATGAAGGCAGAATTAGAGACGACTGAGATTTACGAATTTATAAGTCGATGTCTAAGGAAAACTTTACCCATATTTCCAACACTGAAAACTACTAATGGAATGCCCAATCCAACTATCTCAACAACCATCTGAAGAACATTGGACTGAACAGGCCGTTCTCATCTTGGTCCGCTACATCAAATCCTCGAGAAGTGTACATCTCTTTGGGATATTCATATGGTATAATCTGAAAAAACGGTTTCAACCAGTGATTAAGGTCCAAACCTCGAGACAAGCCTGCCGAGCTTCTTCTCCACCGTCTTTCATGTTCAAGCCATTGATAAATGAAACAATGACTTGTCCAATCAGCTGGGCAAAGAATAGGATCAGAATTGGGTTCTTATGTTTCTTCATCCATGCATTGATTGCGAAGGTTCGGTTGATGGTGAGGAGGAGAGAAAACGATACACTGACTGGAATGAATGAACGTCATCTCTACTCTCCTCAGGTGAGTACTCATTATCAATATCACTTGAAAACTCATTTAATCCAAAGGCTCAATTCCGAAATCAGAGAGGAAGCCACTCACGTATGCAGATTTACATGGAAACAGGAAAGTCATTGTTGTCCCCAAAGTAATATAGAGCTGCGTTAAGGCAGATCTCCAAAGACAATAATGAAAGATTGAAATACAAAACTCACGTGAAGTCATGTCCATGAATCACGAAGCGGGTGAAGTTGTTCAGCTTGGTTGGGACGAATATGAGAAGGGAGAACGAGAAGAATAGAATGAAGAACCCAAAAAGGGATAAACAGTGCATGATTATAACATAGAGAGACATCTGAGGTACGTCAAATCAGTCTACTTGTTAGTGGGGCGAAGGGGGGAGAGCTGTCGAGAATGATTTGGCCGTTCATGTA